TCTACTTTTGAGTTTCTGCTGAGTCACCATCTGACATCAAGGTGTGCCTGCAATGGGCGTGTGATATTATCAGACTTTTCCTAGACCACAGACTGCCATATCTTTTCTGACCAAATCCACTGTCATGTGGATCTTCATACATGGTAGACAAGGCTCCCGGCCACCGGGGTTTTGAATCTAACCGGAAATATACAGAGATGTTGTGATGCACATGCAACCTGAATCAAGCAGAGTTGCCTAGTTTAGTGCCGAAAGTGATTTGTGGGGATTTAAGACTCAAAATCTCATCTCGTTTGCAGAGGAGTCGAATGCTTGTCCATCCAGTTGTCAGATAGACTGTGATCCTTCCTGCTCACATTTATTCTCCCCAACCACCCTGTCACACACAGCCTTATTTTTAGCCTTCAGATGGGGGATGAGGGGAGGGCGAGAGCAGGGAGAAGCCACTTTTGACCTTGTGTAGGGGTCAAGCTCCATGAAACTCTCTTAGAACAAACATGCTTTAACCATGCAACATGTATCTCAGCATACAATTACATACACTATGCGTTCAGCTATAGTATGAATTTTTCACCCTCAAAACTTATGCTGTAGAAAAAGACTGATTTGTCGTACATTCGGCGCCTCTGAGGTCTCTCTCATTTGAGTACAGGGTCTGAATGACATCATTTTGAGCAAAAAAGTAACATTGAGGAAACCAATCTGAAGTGGCCTCAGTCACTGTCTGTTTTCATTCCTAGGAAGCCACGCTTGATGAAATGGGTGAGAAAAGAAATAAAGCCGATTTAATCACTATTCTTAAGGCATGACTTCATCATCGTAAGTGTTGAAATCCCACAATTCTAGAGCCCCACTTACAGATTTAAGTGGTTTTACATAAGCCCCTTTAACAAGCACTGGAAGAGGCAAAACAGCAAGTAATTAAAATGTGGATGGCATCACCATAAGGCGAGCACTTGTGCCTGGAGCTACATTCACAGCATCAGCAGGCTTTTAAAGGTGACTCATCGTCTGCAGAAGGACTGAGGATGCTACCATCAGTCAGTGACAAAGTGGATCCAGTCCACACAGACATGGATGCTAAAGACACACATGAAGACTCTCCACAGAGGTCAGGAAACGTGAGATAATAAAATACATAAAATGATTAAAATGAAATGATGTTTAAAATTTCTGCGTGGAACAGTAGATTAGAAATCCTAAGTCCACATTATCATGCATTCATGCATTGTCCATTTACATTTGTGGTGGTCAAAACCGCTAGAAAAATGAAGTTGGCTTTGCCTGCAAGGTCACCTTATGCTTGCAGGTGCAATTTCCATTCCTGTGATGGTTTGATTAATGGCCAGTTCACTACACGCGGGCCCCGAGAGCCAGCCCTGCTCTGGTTCTGCTCCTTGCTTTCTCCCTGACATTGCACAGGACAAGGAACACTGCATGCATCAGTAGCTTGAGCATCAGGTAAAAACAGCATTGTTTATGTAATTTCTGACCCAAGATGGTATGAAAGCCAGCATGTCAGGGAAGATGAAATGGCTTATACCTTTTGTCTTCATGCTAAGACAAGAGAAAACTTTAATGTTCTTTAAAATGTAACATAAGTATCAACCAACTACTAAACTCATAATTACTCCCTTTCTTTTTTCTTTACAAATTCACTGTTCTACAATTAAACAATGATTTTTTTTCTGAGGTTACTATTACAATTTACTCTCTGGAGACTCCAAGTTCAAAAGGGCCACCTCTGCCAGCGTTAGACCTCATCCTGGGAAGGATGATTAAGACCAGTCCTTGCTAAACTCTCATCCATCACCCCAGCTAGTGTTGCAGTGACCCGTGTCCCCCTTCAGACACAGGAGAAGCTAAGGCTTTTGAGTTTTGCAGCTAGCTTTAACACAGGTTAGATGCTGACTAATAACTGCAGTGTGCGCCTTCAAGGACGGTGACTTCTATTTCTCCTTTGCCTTCCCATTTTTTTTCCTTGCACCCCATGGGGGAGGGGGATGGCTTCTGCTCTGGCTGCCCGATAAATGCCTTCTATTCTCTGAATATTTAAGGGGAACATTTACCCGCTGCTGCACATCGGTCGGTTGCATAATAGGGGACAACTGAGCCAGGACTGGATACTCCATCTCCACAGAAGGATTTTAAGACCAACAAGAGCTGTTTCATAGAGCTGGTCATGACTCGGGACTCTCTCTATACCCTTTCATCACTATGGCAACAGGCAGTTCCTACTTTACACGGCCAAGAAAAGCAGCTGACATCTCAATGCTAGGAACATAGGGGATAACTTTACAAAAAACACAACAACCACCACCAAAAGAGCCTTTTTGTTTGAATGTCAACAGAGAGAGGAAAAGACACCCCCGGAGCAAGTCAAAAACCTCTATTCTTGCCTTCAAGAAAGGTCTGAAAGGAGAAGAGTTGGGGCTTCCCCCCTTGTCCAAGGAGACCCCCTAAACCAGAGCTAGCTGCAGAGTGGTATATCTCCTCTCTGCCTCCGGAAGGGCTGGCGCTGGAAATCACCCCTCCCATTTGACTTGGGCCATTTCAGAGCTGCTAACGGACGAAGCATGGATACTCAGCAACAAACACCTGTGTCGAGGTCCTGAGATGGTTTCTTCTGCATTTCTTTGAATAAAGAAAAGAGAACTCAATTCTAATTTTGCTATGAGAAGCCTCATTCCAGCTTCATAATAAACAGCTTAGGACACGAGGTTTCCTGTGATAACTAACTGTTGTGGTGAGTCTGGTGTCCTAGCTGGTATCATACACACTGTGTTTAATAAATATCTCATTTGACCCTTAGGGCAACCTCACCTATGGGAATCATTAGTCTAAGAGATGGTTAGCTGATGTCTGGAGGTGTGAAGTGATTGGTGAAGCTCACACAGCTTGTGGGGGGGGGGACTGGAGTTGCAGCTCAGGTGCATCTGCCTCTGCAGCCTGCGTCTGTCCACTCTGTTAGAGCAGAGTGCACCAGTGCAAGGGGAATCCCAGAGTCCATCCCTTCCCAGAGTTTACAGAGTGAAAAACAGCTAGACCAATACTTTAGTATTTGCTATGATTATTTAGTATATATTAGGCATAGGTACTTTTCCCACTTAATTTTCCCTTTGCATCTTGGCAGTATCTATCGTTTTTTTGATTTGCATGCCATAATGAATGGTTCTATGGCCATAAAGATGTAAAATCACTTGCCCAGGGTTCCTGAACTATTTAGTGTGACAATGTGCACATAAACCACATCTTTGTAGTCTTATTATATAAGTCACAGTTATATGGTCATAATGTATGAAGCAGAGCCCAGTGTCTTTCTCATGGTAATTTTACTGACTATCTTTGAAGAAGACAGTCTCTCCCAGAGTTCTGTACATCCTTTGATGTCCATGACAAAGAAACAGGCTGTGGTCAGGTGACAATGCCATCAGAAATGCAGCTGTGGCGGAAGGCATCTTGTGAGACCTGTAAGAGGTTCTCCTGGATTTATGGAGGTACCTTTTCACCCACTAAAGATTGTTCCAGGATAATAAGAAAGTCCAACATGCCTCAGGCCTTGTGACAAGTTGTTTCTGTTCTCCTTGGCAGGAAAATATGTTTATGGACATCATGCTAAAGTTAACCAAATCAGACATGTTCATGCATGGCTTCAAGTCAGCTGAGAAAGAATAAGAGTCAAGAGGGAACGAGCAAACATTTGGAGTTGTGCAGAGACACACTTCATTCTGTCATTGCTATTTCTTGTCTTACCTCACATCTGTGCCATGATGGCCTCCGGAGATTAAACTGAAGGGCAAGGAAATCAGTCCCCAACAGTCTCACCAGGCAGTGGCTATCCAAAAACTTTTTGAATAAAGGGGAGGGGGCACAATCTTGCAACCACACACATATTCTTTTCCCAGATGTGGGAAGTAGCATCAGTTGATTGAATGGCAAGCAGATCAAAAAGACTGCCCTACCTTGCTAGGTCACTAGATAATCCAAAATTTAAATATTTTCTAAGAAGGAAGACTCTAAGAAAAGCAAAGAAAACCCTTCAGAACCACAAAGATTTAGCTGAACAAGCTATGCACTATAATACAAAAACCTGGTATCCAAGAGAAAGGAGAGAATAATTTTATTTTAGACTGTGGGCACATTTCTATTCAGCATGGTCAGGGCCTACCCCAGAGAGGTGGCTGATACAATGTCAAGGTGATATATTTAACCTCTTTGCAGACAAAAGACATTGCAAATGCGACTGTGGTGGGACCTCTTGGGGGTAACTTTTCAACTGTATTTCTCTGCAGCTGAAAGCAGGGGAAAACTTTCTACCGCAGGGTGATCCTGTGCCTGGAGGAATGAGCAAGCAGAGCATACAGGAAAATGCTGTATTTGAGAAGAACCAGATCCCAGAACCTTCTGGGAGATGGCTCAGCTGCTCACAGCTTTGAGTTTTCCTTCTGCATTTTGTTTTTCTGAAGAAGACATTATCAGGAACTGGATACATTTCTTGCCCCCTTGTGTACATCTTAACAAATGGTAACAGGAGGCAAGAAAAAAAAAATCTGCTAAACTGTTAGAGAGGGAACCAGGAAAGGGATAACTTGAAAATAACAGAGGCAGAATATACTATGAGAGAGAGAGTTCCTAACTCTTGAAAAACAAAATGTTCCAATTCTACATTGCTGTTAGGTACACGGAGATGATGGATAACTTTAGATATTTTAAACATGAAAAACATGCATATCGTTTGATTTTGAAATCTAAACTTCTTGGTTTGGTCATTACTAAAACTATGACTAATTAGTGCTTGATACTTAGTTTTGTAGGAGGAAAAGAAACATGACCACAAAGAAGTAAAATTCTCTTTTTTCCCATTATAAATTAGTAAAAATGGATTTTTAAAGTAAATAAATGGCTTTGGATTGTCTAATCAAAACCATTAACCAGCCCTTTCAGATAATAGAAGTCAGTTTAACACATGCAATTGGCCAATGTAGGGAATTAACATTTACCTGCCCAGAGGTGGCTGGATCCAGAGTCTTGGTGGTTTGCAGCTGATGTTGAAACCCCTCTTTGCACACAACAGGAAGTAAAAGTCTGACAGACGCCCAAAAGAAACTCTTTCAACCCCCTTCCTCCTTAGCTTGGCTTCTTTGCCTGGAAGCACATCAGGTTTATTGGTGTTGAAATCCTGCTGCTCTGTCAGCCCGTCAGGGACTGCAGTGACTGATGAGAACTTGGAGGCTGGCACCAGAGGGTGTTTCAGGCTGTCACCGTTTTTGTCGCAGATTCCTGGATCTCTCTCCCTCGGTGCTGCTGAGCATTGCAGCAGAGCAGACCCAGAGGGAGAGAGCTAATTCTGCTACGTGCATGGAGCGAACAGCCCTCCCCCCCAGCTCTTGTTCTCATAGGCTCCTAACTTGGCTAGAATGTAAGCTCTTGGCTCTTCATGCATTTTTTTTCCTTTTTCAAACAGTTCTGAGACAGATCTTATGATTGGGATCCCTTGGGGTGGGGGGTGTGATTGGAAGATGCTGAAAAGAGACTCCACACTGTTGTTTATTCCTGGGGCACTTGGAAAAGTCGGGGTTAAAGGAGAGGAGGACTCTTGCAGCAGATGCATTTTTATATGCTCAATTGGAAACTGTCCTCATAAATGCAGCCTGAATGTTAATAGCCAACCCTCCCAGCTACTTAACACTGCTCTGCGTAAGCATCTCTGGAAATTGGAAATTTCAGTTTGCTGCTGACAGAGCACCAGCGGGCTGATTTAGGGACGCTGGGGTTCACAGCCTGCTCTTCCTCAGCCACCCCCTCCTGTGAGCCCATGATGCTTGGTGTGCAAGAAGAGGTCTTCCTGGGAAACAGACAGCAGTTGTGCTTACTTTTTGACTTTGCATTGTGGCGTTTATTTATTGAGACAGGTCTCACTATATAGCCCTGGCTAATCTGGAACTCACAGAAATCTATCTGCCTCTGCCTCCTGGGCTATAAGGAATATACCAGTAGACCTGGCCCTACACCCTGGTTCTCTATATGTCTCTCTAATAATTTCAGCTGCTATGTCTATATTTGTTGCACATTTACTGTGTGTCAGACCCTGCGCTAACAGCTTTCTGTGTGCTATGTCAGTTTATTCTGAGTCTGCGGATGTTGTACTATGTTTTCTTTGAAAGGTAGTTCAGTGCAATGGTTAAATCTGCAGGCTTTAAGACCAGGCCGCTTGGGTTTGCTGCTTGGCTTCCTCACACCATAACTGTAGACCCAGGACTGGGGTGATAACGTCTCTAAGCTTCAGTGTTCTTATCCATAAGATGAAACTACAGATGTGAAAATGATCATAGGATCCATGTCAGGTCATTGTTCTGAGTTTAAATAACTTAATGCAAATAAACTGCATAAACCCACTACCATGCAGTCGACCCTCAACACATATTAACTGTTCTGGCTAATGTCAGACAACGACAAAGCTTGGGAAGGCTAAGGGCTTTCTTCCAGGGTCTCCCAGTGTAACCAGTAAAGTAGGATTCTCCCGGCTTCACACCTGTACCAGTTAACTGAGAAAGTAACCATGATGTTCCCTGAAGGTGGGAATGATGCTCCTCTGTTCACCAGGTGTCTAGTACAAACGCTTTGAATACTGTTCATCCTTCATTAACATTAGATGAGAAGTTGTAATTTAATTTCATTTAGGTGTTCTGAATGTCTGACGAAGTCCTCAGGAAAACAGACTCATAAAAACCAACGCAAACCAAAGCAAACAAAGCCTTAGCTAGAAAGTTAGCAGGCATGCCTCAATTCTCTTCAAGGACCCCAGAACCATTTGCCTTATTTGTTTTTAGAACACTGAGGGAGAAAGGTAACAACACTTATCTCTGTTTTGCAGTGGGGAAGTCTGGGAGCAGAGGAAACTGGGCAGTGTGCCCGGGAGGAGCCCTCACAGCTGGGAAGGGGAGCACGTGTCTGGGATCAGGATTATTGCTCCTAATGGAAGGACTGAGGATGTGACGTCTGGTGCCTCAGACAATGGGATATTTTTCCTCAGCTCAGGCCTGGAGTGTGAGCAGCTCCTGAGAGGAAGGAGAGGGGGTGGCTGTGTTAGTTTCTTCTGGGCCTCTGTACACATCTCTCTTATCTTAGCAATGTAGAGGACCTGGCACCATTTCTACAGTAGTGTCCTGAGGGACCTGGGAGAGGTGAGACCATTCAGGTTATATAGAAAAGCATTCCTGAGGAGTTGACTTTGTTGGTTAAAGAGTTTTCTAAGGACTTCAAGTATTAACTTACTTTAATTAGCATTCCCCATTTGTTTAAGGTGAGTTTATGAGGTTGATTACAGGCAATGAGATTAATCCAATGAGAATAAAGAGAAAGTTTTAGCTGGAGAGCATTAAAAAAACAAAAACAAAAACTCTTGACCAACTAAAATTTTTTTCCTAATACTAAGTTTGACATATTTTGGTGAAATGATGAAAACAAATTTTCTTATGGACAGGTTGTTTAAGGCAAACTGGAATTATGGTTTAAGTGTAATTGTATGTATGAAGAGAGCTTCTTTAACTTATAAGGCTTGAGGGATCCACTCAGTTTTGTGACTAGAAAGATCAGTTATAAGACACTCAGAACTCTGCAATATATACAAACTCTTACAGATGAGGTCGAAGGAAAAAAAATGACCAGAAACAAAAGGGCGTTGAATCCATGATGCCTTTAAAGTATGGCTTTATTTTGGGAACGTCCACTGGCAGATATCCAAGCTCTGATTGTTTACGACACTGCCGTTTCTAAAACAGTTTACAGCTTTCCCAGCCGAGGACAATGAACCTACAACAATCCCCACCTAACGGATGGAGCTGACTTCAGTGCTGTGTTGCTTTACTTCTGCTTCCTGCAATAGGTTCTCATCCTCACTCTGGCACCCAGGCTGATGCAATGGGTCCCTTTAGGGTGAATCTCGAATAGGCAAGGCCCCAGGCCCCCAGGCCCCAGAACGTGTTTTGCTTCTGCTGTGCCTTGACACGGTTGCTGCTGCCATCTTTCTCTGGTATTTGGCATGGTGTGCATGGGTGTGGGGAGATCCCCACTGCCTGAAGTGTGTTTATCTCATGGAAGCATCCTGTTCTACTGGGCATTTTTCCCTGTGGATTATTATGAAGACGATTTCTTCCTAAGCTGTACTGTCTTATTGATAATAATAACGTTACTTGAAATAGAGTTTTGATGATTAAACATAAATGCAGGGAAATGTCGCACAGCCAGGGTCCATGAGTTTCCCTTCAGGAGCTACACAGACACAGTTCAGGTTAATGATGAAAGAAAACACCTGAGTCCCAGGAACCAGGCTGGCTCCAGTTCCTTTAACCTTAATTTTGGGATTGTGTTCACAGGTTTCCGAGTGCATCATAGTTGAAACAAAGCTTTGAAAATAACTTAAGTTTAGACTAGATGCTTTTTGTGATATAGCTTTGAGCTGAAAAACCCAAGAAGGCAATCTAAAGTTTTAGGAAATCACGTAGCTGAATGAGGAACTCGTTAGGTCAAAACACAAAGCAGTCCAAGTGTTACTAGCTGATATACTTTCCTTGTTAGGTTTGGTTGGTGATCAAAGGTGATGATTAATTCCTTATACCCATTTCTGCCCTCAATCTCCTGATATATGGAACCTATTGGTGAGTGGGTATACACCGTTAAGAATCCTGGCTTACAGCAATGACAATCGTATGATCCCACATCATCTCAGGAGCTGTATGCCAATCTCCTAGGGCTGTCCCGACAGGTTTCTACAAAATAGAGAGCCTAAAGTGACAAAAGTCTATTTCTTTTGAGTTCTGAAAGCTAAAAGGCCGCGGTTTCGATGTCAGCAGTCACAGGCCCTTCCACACACTTTTGGAGGATCCTTTCTGTATCACATCCTCAGTTTGCCGGCTCCCAGGAATCCCTGACATTCTTTGGCTTGTAGCTACACCATGCCCATCTCAGCTTCTGTGTTCACATGGCCTCTGGCCTTTTAAATTTTTCCTCAATCTCTGTGGGTGTCTTTATCCTACATGGATACAAGTCATTGGAATGAGTTTGTCACAATTTAGCAATGACTAATTTCACCCTGACTACATTTATGAAGATCCACTTTCAAATAAGGTCTTATTCGCAGGTTCCAGAATCAGAGGTTGGAGCACACGTTGTGGGGGTGGGGGTGGAAGCTTGCAATTCAAGTATGGTCTGCCCTCCGGTACTCCAAATTCACTCTTCCCCACATGCCATGGCACATTCCCGCCACTTCAACTACCTTAATGTGTTTCATTTTCTTTCACTTTAAGAGTTATTTATTTTATTTCATGTGTATGTGGACCACATGCATGCCTGGTGTCCATACAGGTCAGAAGAGGGTATCGGATTCCCTGGAAGTGGAGTTACAGATGGTTGTGAGCCGCCATGTGAGGACTGGAACTAACAGGTGTTCTTAACCGCTGTGCCATCTCTCCAGACTTCTTAATGTGCTTTAAACATTTGGTCCAGTCAGTACCAATTCCAAGTCTCTCATCTCACAGAAATATTATCAATCCAAAAGCTTCCAGCCCTCACCATCTGAGACATGTAGATTAGGGATGTGGAAGGTTTATCCTTGAACAAAAGGTACTACCACTTTCCAAAATATGATGAAATAAGGGAGACATCCTATTCTGAGAAGGGAAAATGGGAGGAATAAAAGCATCATTTGTTCCAATCAAGTTCAAAACTCAGCAGGATCAAGTGCTCCAGCGCTTCAGGCCAGGTGGTCTTTGACGGCTCTGTGCTCTGGCCTCTGGCCCACAAAGGCGTGTTATGCTCTCTGGGCCTACAGAGGTTCCAGCAGCCTTGTGTCACCTGTGAAGTTGCCAGGACTGTCATAACGAACATGGCTGCCCAGCTAGTTAAAACAACAGAAACTTATATTGTCTTAATTCCAGAACTCTCGAGAGCAGGGTCTTGCTCTAGGTAGGGCCTCTAGCCTTGGTTTGTGGAGGTCAGCCCTGTTCCTATGTCCTCACACGTTCCGTGTTCTCACATGTTCCTTGTTCTGTGTGTCTGTGTTCTAGCCTTCCTCTAAGACCAGCAGCCATATTGGATTAGGGATTTTACCTTACTTACGTTAAAGGTCCTAACGCCAAACAGAGCTGACTTCTGAGGTTTCCGAACACACACATTTTGAGAGGGGACAAACATACCTCAGCAGGAGCCATTCTTCCTTTTCCTCAGCGTCAGACACGGAATCTTGGAAACCCCAAAGCCTTCCTTTTGTCTTGTGTCTGCCCCTTACTCCCCAGGCCAGCGTTTCTGCTGATGTCACCATCTTAAGATCCTTGCTGATATCTCATGTGATTC